GTACATTGGTTTGTGTAAATGTCTATCAGACAAGATTATAAACAGATTGATGCCGTTCCCAAGCAGTATGAGTATGTAGGTTATCAAGATGAGGGATCCGAGGAGCGTTTGGTTCTGCAGGTGATCAAATCCAGTGATTATAAAGCTGTCAACATTTCTCACAGAGTAATTTTCAGCCGCCATGTTCAGTGTATTGCTTAACAGATATTAAAAGAGACTACATACGAATGTCATGTCAAAATCAGTGAAGGTCCTGATGTACTTGTATATGCAGAGAAAAAAAGCTCCTGTGAAGGAAAAAGGCAGGTAGATGTAGGCAGTCTCTGTGACATACAGGTGATAAAAGCTGTGAAAGTTAAAGTATAGTTTCAGAAGAAACACAAAAAGTGTTTCACTCATTTCAAAAAACAAATATAAATAAATAAAGTCTAAAACATTTTCTAATGTTATCCCTTATAGGAGATCCATGCAATTATTTACATTTCTAATATGCTCACAGTAAAATAACAAGTGATAATGAGATGTTACTCTCCTACAGTAAACAAATGTATTATTGAGGTCCTGCCTTTTATATCCAATATGTGACAACTCATAACTTACGGTTACCTAGCAGCTGCCAAACTAGGGAGTTTGTTAACACCACCATACGATGTCTCCAAAATAAATTGGACATTTAGCAAATATAAATAATATTTACATATATGTACACATTAATACAAACATATCTATAATAATTCACTAAAAATAATCTTATTAATCGTTTTCTGTTGACACATGACAACATAATGGAATAAGAAATTAGTTCACGCTTCTTTTCTTTGATCCACTGCCATTGAGCATTTGCAATCTTGATTTAATTTTTATGACAGCTCTAAGCTGATAAACTGCTTTGTTCTGTCATAGTTCTATTTTGATGTCAAAAGGATAATTCACATTGAAGGTAAGGAGTCTGAATCTATGAAATTAGAACGTCTACCTTTTTGGATGGAGGTCCATCTCGAGGATGACCATAACACATATTACCAAAAAATTAGGGACTTCTACAAATAATTTAATTCTGGTGTTCCAATCACTTCCATGTCCACAGGTGTATAAAATCTAGCACCCAGGCATGCAAATGTTTCCACAAACACTTGGGGTCACTCTCAGGAGCTCAGTGAATTCAAGTATGGTGCATCTGTTTTCTCACTAGTTAGTGGTCATAAATCAAACTGGTAGCAATTAATCCTTCACTGTCAGGACTCTGCTACTTCGGTTTTGTGGCAGAGTTCGGGCACTGGCTATGTCTTGTCAGTTTGTGTCTCTTGTTGTTGTGAACGTGCATTTTTAAAAAAATAAAATAAAATCCTTGGTTATTTCCATTAAGGTCCTCGCCTCATCCTTCCCAACTACAAACCCTGACATTTATGGCAGTTTTATTGACAGCTTATCTAGTCAATATTAACATGAAAAATTATAAAAATGTGCTCATATGGGACTTGCAATGCAGGCAGCAGGTATGCAAAAAGGCTTGGCAATATTCAATTTTATGATTTGCTCAAATAAAAAGTGTATGAAATGGACATGTTGCATATGAATATAGAGGTGCAAAGAAATAAGCTTTTTTGACATCATCTCTGCAAGGTTCTCTTCTGAACTAGTATGGACTACGCCATCTCCAGAAAAGATTTAACAACAATTATATGACCACTAAAACAAAATCAGCAACTGGATGCAGGTTGTGTCACAACCACAGGGAAGATCTACACTCATGCATCCTATAGGATGTAGGGTAAATGCAGATGACCCATAGAAGTGCAAGTTCCAGCACTTAGGGACAGCAAAAAGTTAATAAACTAAGTGTACTGTTGTGTATACAGTGGTGTGAAAAAGTAATTGCCCCTTACTGATTTCTTATTTTTTTGCATGTTTATCAATATTTTATATTTCAGATCATCAAACAAATGTAAATATTGGTCAAAGATAACACAAGAAAATAAATCATGCAGTTTTGAGATGAAAGTTTTTTATTAGAGGAAAACTAAATCCAAAATTACAAAAGTGTTTGCCCTCTTGTTAAAACAACTTAACTGTGGTTTATCTCACCAGAGATCATTTCTTTCACACCCAGGCCTAATTACTGCCACACCTGTTCACAATAAAAAAAAAATCGCTTGATTAGGACCTGCCTGACAATGTGAAGTAGACCAAAAGATCCTCAAAACTAGACAATGCAGAGATCTAAAGAAATTAAAAAACTGATTAGAAAGAAAATAATTGAGATCAACCATTCTGGAAAAGGGTATATAGCCTTTTCTAAAGATTTGGGACTGCACTGAACAATAACGAGAGCCATTATTGACAAGTGGAAAAATGGAAGAGTGAAGAACCTATCCAGAAATGGACGATGACCAGAATTACCTCAAGAGCACAGCAACAGCTCAACCAAGAGTTCACAAAAACCCCACAACATCCACAGAACTGGAGCCTCACTTTCCTCAGCTACGGGAGTGTTCATGCCTCCCCATGAAGCTGCATTCACACTACGTGCAACTTGCAGAGGCAAAGCAACAAGCAATCATTAATTTCAACTGGGAGCCAGCTACTTCCGGTGACCTCCAGCTACTATAGTAACAGCGACAATGTTTAGAATCTTTCAACTTCATGCATATGAAGAGCAAATTTCTTGAGTGACTGCCAATACGAGCATCAGTATCCTCACTTAGCTCTTGCAAAGGCTGGTTGTTCTAGAACTACACAGACCCACGTTTGCAGCAGATAAATAGCCATAATGACTAAGAGCAAACGTTTTACTTGATAATCTTAGTAATTTAGGATTTTATGTACTGATTTCATTTTTATTTAGTGCTTTCTCTAACTAATGCTTACTTTAAGCAGCAGGCAAACTCATTCATTTTCACCATAAATGTTACCTAATCAAACTAAAGGTGGGAATGCTCACTAGCGACTTCCATAGCCAACCAGAGTGACAGGAAGCAACAAAGTCGCTGCTAGTGTGAAGAAAAACAAAAATGAAGTATGTGGAGTGGCCTAGTCAAAGTCCTGATTTGAATCTAATTGAGATGCTGTGGAATTACCTTAAAAAGGCAGGTCATGCATGAAAACCATCCTATATGGCTGAATTACAACAATTCTGCAAAGATGAGTGAACCAAAATTCCTCCACAGTGATGCAACCTGACTCATTGCAAATTATCGAAAATGCTTGAATGCAATTGTCGCTACTAAGGGTGGCCCAACCAGTTATTAGGTTTAGGCGTTTATTTATTAATTTTATTATTAATTATATTTAGGTTTTAACACTTTTTCCCTACATGAGGCTTTGCAGTTTTGAATTTTGTTTCCCCTTAATGATAAAAACCTTGTGTTATCTTTGACTAAAGTGTAAAAAATTTCTAAAAACATTATAATGTAATTTGGGTTATGAAAAAAAAATTATAAACAGCTGGTTCAGTACAAAACACTGGTATGCTGACTTTTTTTTGTATGTTATTCAATAAAGACTGAGCTGTTTGATTAAAGATGATTTAAACTTAGGATATTAATGTGAAATAAAATAGATATAATGCAACTCGCAAGACCAGCTAAAAACCTAAAAAGGCCAATAAGATCTCAGATCAGACTATTCTAACACGGTAAAGCAATCGCAGATGATAAATTACTAACTTTATTTTTATTAATCTATGCTTTGACAAATAAAGTAATCCTCAGATATAATAAGTGGCAGTATCCATTATCCATGTACATGATATATAAAATTATAGTTTGGCTGTAACCTTTAACCTTTACAATAAAGGATAAAGATGAAAAGTCAAACAAAACTAAGATCAAAAGCACTATAGTGTGTATTCAGGATTTGGATACTTGCATTATGTTATCTGAAATAATTCTATATTTTTCATGACAGTCTTATACACATAAAAAAGTAAATACATAGACATACAAGTAATAATTGAAATTTAGTTAATGATTCTTTTAAAATATTTGTGTAATGGGATCTCAAGGGAACACTATCGGCTCAGCTAGATTCATTAAGAGGACCCTTGTGTATAATAATCAAGTGGAAACATGAATACAGCTTTATTTATTAACACAGTAAACACAGTAATTGCAGATAAAGTACTTCAACATTTTTTCTTCTGTTCTTTGACAAGAAGACTAAAGGTCTGACCCCTCTCCAAGTAAACTAAGAACTCCATCCAAGTACCTTTCAAAATAGCATAAATTGCCAAAACACAACCTGTCAAATCACTGAACCATAAGCAAGGGCCAATGCATTATTAATGCTTGGCAATTTTTGTGGAAATAGCTTATTCTTAAATTACTTATTAGTAATTCAATTAAGTAACATTTTACATTTTTAACAGAAAAATATTTGATAATTATGTGCTGTTTTGCTAGAAGAGATGCTCTAAGAATTATACACTAGAGATTTGATGTCAAGGGTTTCATGTAAACACTGTCATTCTTGTTTGTCTGAACAGTGTCAACATATTTGCTACATGCTCTTAATTTGCTCTCTGGAGAAACCAGACAGACCCTGAAGAATACAGACTGATGTGTAACCAAACAGGTGACGTAAGAATTGGCAGTATCCTTTATTCATGTTCATGATGGCACACAAAATAACATTGACTATAACCTTTAACCTTCACCATTAATTGTAATGTTAAAAATATCTAAACAAAATTACAATCGACAGCCTTAAAAAGCATATTGGGTATTTGGATATACAAGTATAATGTTATTTGAGTTTACCACATGTGGGCCACATTGTACATCACAGCTGTTTAAACATGTTTTCAGAGATTTAGGTGTAGGTTTAGTGATATTTTAAGCTTTGAGGCATTTATTTATTTCAATACTGGAATTCACTTCCCCTAGTCTTTCTTCATTTCATCAGTACATCTGTTTTAGCCTAGATTCTGACTTAAGCAAATGCATAAACGCATCTAAACAACAGACATCATCAATGTTAAACATGCAAATGAATAGAATGTATTACGATATAACCTTAAATTGACCTGGTACTACTTTTTTGTGCAAAAACACATCTGCTAATCGTTTCCTGATCTCTTTAGTCCTGGTGCAATAAACAACAGGGTTTATTAAAGCAGGAAGAAGAGATGAAATAATCAGTATTGCATTTCTCTCTGTTAAAGTCAACACAACTCCTATTCGAGTGAGCAAGTAAGAGACCAGTTTTGGTGCATAAAAACTGAACAGTACAATTAAATGACTCAAGCAAGTGTTGATCATTTGCTTTCTGCTTGAGTTGGACAGTTTAGTCACACTATATGCCAGAACGGCATACGTGCAGATAACAAAGGGCAACAGTCCACAGAAAAACCACAGATTAATCATTGCAGGCAGGAAAAAGTATGGCTCAGGATTAACACAAGCAGCTCTGATCATTGAAGGATAATCACAGAACACATATTTGATGATTGGCTGACAGTATGGGGCATTGTCTATTATTGATGTCAAAACACCCATTATAGCAATCGCAATGATCCAAGTCAGTACAATAAAAAGTAATGTTTGTGAATTTGTGACAATGCTGTGGTATCTTAATGGAAGCTTGATGGCGATAAGTCTGTCTATTGCCATTAATGTCAGAGCCAAGCATATTGTATAATCACCAAGATGATAGAAGAACATCCTAGAGATACAAGAGTAGTATGAAACAGTTTTATCCTCAGCCAGCAGCACTGATATCATGGTTGTGCTGCAGGTCGAGGTGTAAATTATATCAACAACAGCTAAATTACACATTAATATGTACATTGGTTTGTATAAATGTTTGTCAGCCAAGATGATACACAGATTGATGCCATTCCCAAGCAGTATGAGTATGTAGGTTATCAAGATGAGGGATCCAAGCAGCTTTTGGTTCTGCAGGTGATCAAATCCAGTGATTATAAAGCTGTCAATATTTTTCATGGTAGAATTTTCAGCCGCCATTTTTTACGGTATTGCTAAGCAGATATTAAAAGAGACTACATACAAATGTCAGGTCAAAATCAGTGAAAGTCCTGATGTACTTGTATATGCAGAGAAAAAAAGCTCCTGTGAAGGAAAAAGGCAGGTAGATGTAGGCAGTCTCTGTGACATACAGGTAATGAAAACTGTAAAAGTTAAAGTATAGTTTCAAAAGAAACACAAAGAGTGTTTCACTCATTTCAAAAAAATTGTATGAATAAAATATAAAACATTTTAAGTTATTCTTTTTAGGATTTCGTCCTTATATATCATATTTACATGTTATGTAAAGTTGATTAAAACGCTATCAACAAAATAAACCGTATAAATAAAGGCGTTGAACAGATGAGTTGTTCCGCTCCTAAAGTTAAGAAACGTATGACTGAGGACCTGCCTTTTATATAAAAAAAATATATGACAACTCATACCTTACGGTTACCTAGCAGCTGCCAAACATGGGAGTTTAGTCAGATCACTGTAATGTAATGTAAATACAACTAGGATACTTAGCAAATATGTGAGAATTACAACAAACATGTACCACATTACAACATGCAATCTCATCAGTAATTATTTGTAAATTATTTTTGTTAAATAGGTATCTATCACACATTTTTGTATTTCTGTCTTAATAGCAAATGTTATAAAGACGGCATCTAAACTACGGCTATGTATTGGCAAGATTATAAAAAGGCTGCAGGGAAGTCAAATGAAAGAGAGAAAAGAATAATGTAGAAAATTAATTCATTCATTCATTTTCTTTTCAGCTTTATCCCTTTATTAATCTGGGGTCGCCACAGCGGAATGAACCGCCAACTTATCCAGCATTTGTTTTACACAGCGGATGCCCTTCCAGCTGCAACCCATCACTGAGAAACATCCATACACACACATTTACACACATATACTATGGACAATTTAGTCTAACCAGTTCACCTGCACCACATCTCTTTGGACTTGTGGGGGAAACTGGAGCACCCAGAGGAAACCCACATCAACACGGGGAGAACATGCAAACTCCACACAGAAACGCCAACTGACCCAGCCGAGGCTCGAACCAGCAACCTTCTTGCCATGAGGTGAACGTGCTACCCATTGCGCCACCGTGCAGCCTAATGTAGAAAATGTCAATGGGTAATCAGTTCAACACTGCGGCTGGAATTGCTCAGTAGTTCAGTGTTGAACAGGCTAAAGGTGATGATACACATAGCAAGTTTTAGCGCCAAGTTGCTTTTTTAGGGCAACTATTTAGTCTAACAAAAATTAGAGTTACTGGCTTGCCCTATGGCCCAATAATATGGTTTAATGTCCTTGAATAGCTCTCACTAGCTGAATGCAAGAGTGCATGTATATTAACAGTAATGATTATAATGCTAGTATAAAGAATGCAATACAAGGAAGCACAAATCAAACAGAGAGACTTTAGACCTATACAAAAGTATACAAGAAAGCTAAATCACTTATTGCACCTTTACATTGGACAACTGTTGGTATTGTAAGAATTAAATAAAACTGTTTTGTGTTGAAACATGACAACTTAACAAAATAATAACAAGATCCTGTATGAGTTCACACTCCTTTTCCTTGCTCTACAGCTGTTTAGAAACTGCCACACTGTTTTAATTTTTCACACTCATGTTATCCTATATATACGTTTATATGACATGTTCCTATATCCATAACTACATGAGGACTTGGAAGGTGACAGGTGAGGTGAACTCATATAGCATAGGCTGGAGACCTAGATAAATTAATTAATCTTTACTGTCTCTTACAATGGTGGTTCATTCCGCTGTGGTGACCGCTGATTAATAAAAGTACTAAGCCGAAAAGAAAAGGAACGAATAAATTTCTCTTATAATTTAGTTTGTACATTATTAATTTCTCTTGTTCAAGATGCCACTATTTGCGTGTTTATAAATTGTTTTAAGAAATCAAAATGTAAAATCAAAATGTAATCCAAGGGTCACATCACTAGATTGTAGGTCATACAGTAGCTTTAATAGTTTTTTTTTTCAAGTTACACTTACCTCCTGGTTATATTCTTCGTGTGCATATTGTCTGAATGAATTACTATTTCCCTGGGTAGTGTAAATAAATAGGAGAGCCATAGCTTACATTGAAAGCTTGTCTGACAAAGAGAAGTGGGGGGTGTAAAGGGTCAATTGGGAACAATAGCGAGATAAAAATAAATAAATAAATAAAATCACAGAGCGGTGTCAGCACATGTTGAGCCACACTGTGTGTCAAAGTCACCAACTTTCTGCCAAGTTAAAAGCTACAGACCTTCAAACTTTGTGTGGCCTTCAGATTAGCTCCGTGCACAAAGAGCATAATTGTAAGGATTTCCATGGCCAAGCAGCTGAAACCAAGTCTTGCATCTTCAGATGCAATGCAATGCGTGTAAATCACGCTACCACCAGACTCTAAGGCCCCGTTTACACTAGTGCATTTTAGTTTTAAAACAGCGTTTTAGACCAAAAATGATCTGAGTCCACACTAGCGTTTCACCTAACATTTCTGAACATATTTCCGTTCACACTACGCCACCAAAAACGTATATCCCGTGACCATTCGCGCACTCTGGCCATGCGCATTCTAGTATAAACAGGAAGCATGTGTCTCGCTCGGCATTTGTTTATTGTTAGTCAACAAACGCTGGTTGAACAATGAACTCGATGGCAAAAAAAAGCAAGAGAGGTATTTTTGTGGACAGACGACAAGGTCAAGTTGTTACTAAACATAACAAATGAATAACTGCACAAAGGCGCCTAAAACAGACAATAGTGCAAACAACGCTCCCATTTCTGTGTCCATGTCATTGTTTACAGTGAATTCGGGTCTGCTGTCTTCTGGTAGCGTTAAAGCAATGTGTTAGTCATGTGATAGGGGCTTAACGAATAAGGGAAGGATACCCAATGACACAAAAGCCCCAATTAGGTAGCGAACGTCGGCAGCCCCGCCTTCGTTTTCAGATGTCTCCGTTTCCCCCCATCCACACTGAGACGAAGCAGCAACATTTCAAAATGAAAACGGCCTTTTGAGCATTTCCAAAATGTTCCATTTTCGGTGTTCGAAAACTCCGACGTAGTGTGGACGGATGGCGTAACCATAGCAAAACTTATGCGTTTTCAAACTAAAACGCATTAGTCTAAACGGGGCCTAAAGCAGTAGAGACGTTTCTTGTTTGTGGCATGACAAATCACACTTCCCCCGATAGATGAGTATAGATTTTGGTGCTTGCCAGGAGGACATGCCTGATTATATTGTGCCAAATGTAAAGTTTGGAGGAGGAAGATTATGGTGTGAATGGATTTTCAGGGATTGGGGTTCGCCCTGTAGTTCCAGTGAAAAAAACACTTAACGCTTCAGCATATAAAGACATTTTGGACAATTTTATGCTCCCAACTTTGTGTGAACCAATTGAGGATGTCCGTTTCAGAATGTCCTGTTCCTGTTCCGGGCTCCCAGCTAACTCTATCAAACCTCTTCAGATGCTTCAGAATGAAGCAGCTCAAGTGGTCGTTAACGAACCTAAAAGAGCACATGTCACTCCGCTACTCATTCGTTTGCACTGGCTGCTAGTTGCTGCTCGCATCAAATTCAAAGCACTGATTTTTGCTTACAAAGCGATTTCTGGCTGCGCCCCTTCTTATCTGCTTTCACTTCTGCAGATTTATAGGCCCTCCAGAAACTTACGTTCTGTGAATGAATGTCACCTCGTGGTTCCATCCCAAAGAGGGAAGAAAACGCTTTCCCCAATGCTCGCGCTAAATCTGCCCAGTTGGTGGAATGAACTCCCTAACTGTATCAGAACGGCAGAGTCACTCGCTGTCTTCAAAAAGCGACTAAAAACTCAACTATTTAGTCTCCACTTTCCTTACTAATACGCAACTACCTCTCTGAATACTCAACTAATTATAAAAAAAAATACTAATGCTTTCCTTCTTAGACTTTACACACTTGCCTATAGCACTTATTCATTGTTGCTCTTATAGTTGTGTAAATTGCTTCCTTGTCCTCATTTGTAAGTCGCTTTGGATAAAAGCATCTGCTAAATGACTAAATGTAAATGTTCCAACATGACTGCACGCTAGTGTAATGTAATAAATGTGTACTTATATAGCACATTTATCAGGTATGGCCATACATCCAAAGCGCTTCACAATGAGGGGGGTCTCTCCACACCACCACCAGTGTGCAGCATCCACTTGGATTATGCAATGGCAGCCAAAGGAAAACAGCTCCAATGCGCTCACCACACACCAGCTATTGGTGGAGTAAAGAGACAGTCATAGAGCCAATTCGATGGATGGGGATGATTGGGAGGCCATGATCCCAAGGGCCGATTTAGGGACTTTGGCCAGGACACCTGGGTTACACCCCTACTATTTACGAGAAGTGCCATGGAATTTTTAATCACCACAGAGAGTCAGGACCTCGGTTTAACGTCTCATCCGAAAGACGTTAGTGCACAAAGCAAGGTCCATAAAGACATGAATTACATATATGAGTTTGGTGTTGAGGAACTTGTCTAGCAGACACAAAGTCCTGAACTCAACCAAATAGAAGACTTTGGGAACAATTAGAATGATTAAGGGAATTCCTTTCTCTGTTAGGTGACATCAAGCCAAGGTAAAGTTGGGTTTTTGTAAAAGAAATTTTAATCTCAATGTGTCTTTCCTGGTAAAATAAAGGTTATAATAATAAATATAATCTTCAGTGTGATCCAAACAACAACAGAAAGTCCACTTCTGAAATGAAGTGAAAACAAAATAAAGACTTTGGAACGGCCTAGCTAAAGTCCTGATCTGAATACAACTGAAATGGTACAGAACAATTCTGCAAAGATAAGTAATAGTATTTATATAATAATTCTTTAAATTCATATAGCACTTTTCTAGACACACAAAGTGCTTAACACATTGGGAGGAATCTCCTCATCTACCAGTAGTGTGCAGCATCCACCTGAATGACGTGAT